ATCCATGTGATCTCCCCAGAATCCTATGCCCCCCCTTCGTTGACGGCTGGCCTCTAAAGGATATCGAGAGAAAATTGAAGTATATTCAGGTGATACTAGATTACGACAGGAGCTCCTGATTACGACCACAAGACATAATAAACCACTGATTCAGCTTTGCCGGCATCGGTCGTTGAAAATATTTTTTAATCAATTTTTTTCGCCATTAATCAGGTTGATGGATATGTTTAGGTAGGAGTAGGTTAACACTGTTGGAACACTATATTTCCGTGACTTTCCAGGCAGAATTTGATTGAGAGGAGGGGTGAGAGCCGTCTTTGTATTTAGATAAGGCTATGTAAATAAGAAAAAAGAGCTATTGCTAAAAGCGTATCAAGAAAAGCGGATCAGCCTAAAGTTAAGCAGGCTTTGTTTGACGATTAACAATGACCGAATATGGCTATTTTGGAACAATGGCGGAAACAGCTTTAAAATACACGCGGGATTTTTCAAAATTTCCGATTATCATACGAGCGGCAGATTCAAACCATCGGCAAAACTGATGATAAGACAAATCCTCCCCGTGGGGGTGATTCTGGTAGATTTTTTAGGATGCAAATAGTCAGGGTGAGGTGGATGGTGGGGCGACTATAGCTTTCGTATCTGAAATAAAGAGATGTCACCGTTTTTTCCCTTATATTGCTTAAAACTGACGAAAGATGTATTCAATTAGAGGCTCACTGTGCGATGCAAAGGTGATGAGAGCATGTGTAACCTGGTATTAACATCCGAAGCCTACCACGCCGTTGAATCATGTAGAAGACTATCGTCATTTGCTCGATTTCTATTTACCATACAAATGCTAACTGTTTACCGTAGCGTGAATGCATAAGCCCAGAAAAAACTTAACACGCGAAAAAATCACACCCCTTGATTCGTTAAATGCTGCCTCGCTTGACTGAGAACAAACATAAAGTCCCAACGTCCGCTTTCTACAAAGCGAGTTTGGATAAAACATGTGCTCTGACTGGTTGAAACAGTGTGCTTTATTATAGTACGGATACACGAAGAGAAAGCTAAGCAGTGTGTCTCATTTCAGCAGGTGGTTGATAACAAAAACATTGTTAATAGCTATCAGCCATTGAACCGTCAGTTTAGGAGAAAAGAGCTAGTCGGAAAATTATTGTGAACTATTATAAGCGCGTTTAGACGTATCAAATTATTGCTGTTGTAAGTAGGTTGTAGTTATTAATCGTGATGAACACAGTTGAATACGATGTGAATCGAACGTGCGTGCTGCAACCTTTTTCAGGTGATAAAGTCGACTGGATACGACTGCAGCTGTGTTCTTTGATCGCTGGAAGCACGTGGTCAGATGCGATCGATCGAAACGTTGCGATCCAAAGTGACCCCATCGAGGAAAAAACGATTTTCATTCCATACAAATTGATAACTTTTTCCACTTTCTGCAAAACTTTGATCCGCCAAGTCTCACATAGAGGATTTTCTAGTGTTAATCAAAAAGTTAATATTTAAAATGCATCGAGGACAATACCTGTTATGTTTCTTTTGAAACTTAATTTTGGCGGAGAGACCCGACGTCAATAATTTGCATGACAGGTTAATTTAGTGTAATAAACTGAGTTGATAACGTAAATTGTTTACCGTAAGGAGTTTAAAGACTGTAGAGGCTGACGTTTCGAGCGTTAGCCCTTCGTCAGAGCGATTGGAAGCCCTAGTCGCTCTGATGAAAGGCTAACGAAGGGCTAACGCTCGAAACGTCAGCCTTTGGAGCCTTTAAACTCTCGGCGGTAGCCAATTTACGTTATCAACTTAGTTGATTACATTAAATTACCCTGTTACATCTCGTACCGACGCAGCACAACAGTTTCTTTAGAAACTTACCCCATTTTTAATTTGCATGACAGTCAACCTCCCACATCATGTGCGAAAAATAAACGGCTGGTCGTGCCTCAAAACATCACCAGGTGATTAGGCTTAGATATTTTCTGAGAAGAGAATACTCACAAGCCTTGCAGTTCTATTGCAGTTAAACCGATATTTTGGACTTGTCTATCGTCATTGAAAATTAGCTAGAAGTTTGCGTTTGATTTAACTTACAGAAACTCGACTCACACAACGGAAGAAATGATGATGACCAGAAGTTGCCAGTTATGAGGAACACTCTTGAGTGAGTACCAAAGTCCTTTCGAAAAAATTTATCTTATATAGTATGTATCACAAGAAGACTACGTGAAGTGGAGCTTATAGCTTCATTTTGGATGGTTTTGAATGAGTGTGTCCTTTGTTATGCTAAAGAAGCCAGTTTAGCAATGTATTACTGAGCTACAGACTTTAAAGCTGACTTAACTCACGGCTCTATCATCAAAAGTGAAGCTCTCGCGCCCGATTCTTCTTTCAAAACATGATTCGTTGATGTCAGAATCTCCTCTTGTTAAATTATTCATACGCTTTTAAGAGAACTTTTGTACCCGCTAGTTTGATAATGTTGGACAATACACTAGCTCACACTTGTCTTTACTCTTGAGCACGCTTCGTTTTGACACGAGCCATGATTTCTAGGTTCCATCAGTGATTGCACTAAATTGCGATCTGTCTCACATATTGATATGGATAGTTAGACTAGGTTCCATCAGTGATTGCACTAAAGAGTAAGAAAGAAAAAAAACACAAACGATTTACGGATAAAAAATTTAAGAGATGTGATTGCCAAAAAACCGCGCGTGCCTTTTGTCAAAGTGCAAATGGAATCCGAGTTTTAGATTGCGTTATCTGTCTCACATATTGATATGGAAATAGTGCATAGACTAGTTCATAAAAATTACCAATCCATAATCACTCGAGTAATTATTAACACATCGGACTATGATCTTCGTCGGTTTGGGCAAAATGCAATTATAAGGAACAAAGATACAGAATTGCATTCATGTAGTAAAATTCTTATAGTTCTGCCCCATTCCTAACAAGAACAGTGTTATGGCTGCGTCAAACGAACGATAATAAGAAACGAGTTTTGAAAAGCCAAAGAATTCTAAAAAAATGTTTTTATTTAGATAAAACGAAGAGTTTCGTTGCTATTTACTAACATTACGACAACGATGTCGTGTTTTGAATTTCCAAGAAAACGGAAATTCTGCGTGGATCTCAGCTTAAATGTTTTCAAAGAAAGTCTGCAGGTGGCATTAGAAGAAGTTTCAAAAAGAACATCGCGTTTCATAGTTTCGTCATTTAAGCATGTTGTGGTCTGTAAAGTTCCTCATTCAATACAAGTCAAATACAATTCATAGTCGATTTGTTTTCAAAGGTTTCTTTATCGATTTTAAAAGTGAAGGAAGACTGCAATACTCACTCAGGCAAGTTCATAGCATGAGAGAAGTACCCTATGTTATCACCATGATAGGACAGAGCTAAACCAAAGATATCATTTTGGGAAATTTTTAATACGCGTTGTCAGGGGCGGCGAACTGTGTGCTAATTGTTAAAGGAGTCTGTTATTTTATGACACCGTTAAGTATCCATGTCTTATCGACTAGCGCCATATATCTCACGCTTGCTTTTTTACACCAAGCTTTAAATTTGTCGGATGCATGACATAACGCTCGACGCGGTCAGCCGTCAGCGAGCATGATGGCCGCGTTTTTTGCTGGCTCTGCCAACTTGAAATAATTTCTTGCTTTTTCTCGCGTAAATCTAACTTTTTCTTTTACAAACTTAACAAACAAGTAACAAACAATGTCTTCAAAAAGAGAAAAACAAAAGGAAACGGTGGAAGAAGATTTTGAGGCTTTTGTACGCCATCAGTTGAGTTCAATAAGTGACGACCTGAAAGAAATGAAAGGAACTCAAGTCAAGATTCAAAGCGACATTGAATCTCTTCAGAGTCAAATCAAGAAAAATGAAAGCTCGATTTCAAAACTGAAAGAATCTTTGGATACAAAGCTGGAGGTATTAACAGGACAACTGCATGAAGCTAACACAAGAATCAACCAAATCGAGAACGATATCACCAAGTATGCAAAAGAGATCGATAACACCTACGAGAGATTGTTGTCCCTGGAGAGATATTCTAGGGACTACAATCTGAGATTTTACAAATATAAATATAATGGTTAAGTTGAAGCATTATGTATCAAAAGCAACACTTATTAGTGTGTATTATTCTCTTATTTATCCTTACCTTACTTATGCTTGTACACTTTGGGGAAATAATTATAACGCTCCATTGTCTCAAATCGTAAAGTTACAAAACAAAGCGGTTCGTGTTATAAATGATGTTCCTTTAATGGAATCAATAACTCCACACCACACATCCTTATATACCTGCTTCATTAGTATCTGAACTACTTAACTACAGTACCTGCGGTGCATCATCCAATCAAGTTGCAATACCTTTATTTCGAACTAATCTTAGGAGACTTTGCCCCAGCATTATTGGAAGTTTCTTTTGGAACGATATTCCGCAATCTATTAGAAACAAACTATCTAAAAAAATGTTTAGAAAAGCACTTTTGCGCTGGTACCTTGCTCAATACTGATGAAACATTATCTCTTTTATAATTTTCTGAGCTATTTTGTCATTTTTCCTTTACTTTTTTTCATAAAAATCTCAAGTCCTTTGTTATACATAACTTTAAGGGGCACAATATTAGTTTTCTAGATCTGCCTCTCTCCTCTCCTTCAATATACAATGTAATTCAATTTATGTGTTGTAAATTCTGTTCTACGCATTTTTTCCTTTGTAAATCTTTATTATTTATACTATGTTATATCACGTTATATTTACATAACTGTGAAGCAGCTAGGAATTGGAGGAATAAAAAAAATATATATACATATATATATAGCTCGACATGGGTGTCTGCGATATGTCAAACAGCTTGAAAAACAGCCAAACAATAAGTGCCTCTAAAGTTATCGCATTTCCTGTTTTTCTGTGGACATACTCATATTTGTATCACTGTGCTCTCAAACTTTATGATTCATTTCAGGTGAAATTATATAACTACAATGGGAATCCAAGAGTTCTTTCATTTACCAGTTTTCCTCTTCATGTTGGTATTGTCTCACTCAGTTGTTGCTGAGTACCACCGTGATACACGCGAAGTCTCCATCCTTGGTAAGATGCTTCAAAAACACATTTTTAAAACAATCACTGGAGCAGCATTCGGTGATGTGTGTTTGCGGGAATGTTACCGTGACGTCACATGCCAAAGCTTTAACTATGTGTTCACACAAGACAAGTGTGAGCTGAGTAACCGAACAAAGGAAGCCAAGCCTCAAGATTTTGTACCCAACTCTGAGAGATATTACTTCAGAAAAGATATGAAGAGAGGTGAGCGTTAAGGCAAAATGATATAGCTAACTGTTTTAGAGAGGGAGATATCACGTTTTTTCTTCACTTTCTCATTTTCTTACTTTCTAGCTATTCTCGGTGCCATTCCCGAACTGTCTGCAGACTCGTGCAAAGAAATCAAGGCGAGTGAAGGTGGACAAGCGGTCAGCGGAAAATACTGGCTGAATTTCATCAAACCTGACACTCCTGTGTTGGCTCATTGTGACATGAAAACCGAAGGTAGAGTACGAAAGTTAAACAGAATGGATATACGCTAAAAGTATTGTACATGGCGTAAAAGCTAATGGTAAGCTTTGTGCCAGATACAATACTTTCTTGTTGTTGATCGTAAGCCGGTCTGATCGTTCGGTGGAGGGGACACCTGGAAAAGATTGTTACTATGTCAAAGAAATGTTAGAATTGTTCTAAAATGTTTATGATTTTTTCCTTGGAAACTAGTTATGAAACAGCAAGGAAATTTTATGTCAGCCCTTACAGAGAAGATGGGTTGCTCTCAATCTAACAGCAGGAAACTAAAATCAACTTAAGTTGCATCACCCACGAATAAGTGCTCGCGCATTTCGAAACATGACGGATACTTTTCAATCTCACCTTTTCTCTTATTTGTATATTTCATATCGCAATCCATGTACGGCAGTAGATGACAGCAAGAATTGCATATTCATAGAAATCTATTTTTTTCAGGGAATGATTCGATAAATCTTGACTCGTTTGCATCCTACTAAGTATGGTGAACTCATTGTTTACACCTTGTTTAATTCCCAACACCAAGCAACGATTCAATATGTTATTGGAATGATATCCATTGAGACTCTTGAAGAGCCTGCTCGATAAAGCTGTTTAACACCCACACTCTTGGGTTTTTTTTAATTAACTGTGGCTAACTTAATTAAAGAGGATCTGAACAATAATTTGCTTAAAATTGTGCTTCATGATCAATGTGTATTGTCGCTCTAAACGATTTGGATATTCATTAACAGATTCTGACGAATGTAATGCCTCCATTAGCGTTTGTGATGTGAACGCTGATTGCAAAAACACTCTGGGATCGTATCGTTGCTCTTGTAGAGCCGGTTTTTCGGGAGATGGACATACCTGCAAAGGTAAGAAAAAATTTTATCAGAAAACGTACATTTCTCATAAAGCAATTGTGTCGTTGCAAGGTTATTTATTTCTCTAAGCTTTCTTTGACTATTATTTTGTTAGATCTGAAATTGTTTCGCGTCAGCAATTTATTATTTATTACTCGGGCTTTCCGAGGGAAACGCTCGAAGTACAAATTCGGCTTTTTTTTTTTTTTTTTGGGTTCAGTCACAAAACGCAGTTCCACTACAGCGCATGCGTGAAGTGTAAGCGCATGCGTAGAATGAACCCTAGAGCACATGGTTTAAAGCAATGGCTGCCTTCGTGGACAATTCCTTGCCTGATGTACGCGAAAAAATTCGATGGCTATTACGCTCAATATATATACAAAGTCACACACCGTTCACGGTAGACACACACTAAAACTTGTGGAGCGTCTTGGGAACGGGTCGGTCCGCGAACTTTACGAGAGATCAATTTAAGAGCGATACTTGACGATGGAACCTTCTATCGAGAAATATCAAGCGAAACCTGCTATATCAAACGAGCTATCTCATATTATGTTTACGTGTAAACACAACCGTGTATTTAGACGTGATCGAGAACCCAGTAGAATACCAGAAGCTACCGGCTGAAACGTCTTAGAAGAAAGGCCAGAAAACTGAAGGAATTTATTTATGAGCGTATTCGTCCAAGCATACCGAAGTCTTCTTGGCTACGTCGTTATGTGAAGGTTAGAAGAGTTACAAAGAGTGTTTGTAAGCTTAATACGAAGAGGGTGACATTAAATAGTTACACGACACGAGAAGAAGTATTTGTTGAATTTTTCTGTGAGGGTGTATCAAAGGATATTTAGATTGAAGTATGGAGCAAGTCGGTATTTATCAATGTTTTCTTCTAATTAACCCATGTGTCTTTATAAGAGTCAGACACACTTATCAAACTATTGCAAATTTCAACTGAATTCAGATATAGAGAAAAACCCTGGTCCTACTCCAACGTACATTGACCTTGTTTTGCAATGAGTTTATGCTCTTTGATTTACAATAACAAACAAGGAATCAATTCTGCTAATGATCTCGTGTCAATAATGAATATTGGAAAGCAGTTGTATTAAAGTTTGTCTTAGTTAACCAGACAATCATTTTTAAAGCAGACAGAATTACCCTCACTTCTAATGACAATGATAATATATAAGTGTCAACTTTTGTTTTACGTGAGTTAGATTCTGGAACTGTAAAATGTTATTCAAAATATTAACAGGAACAGATCATCCAAGAAATTGAAGAAAGAACATTGAACCTCATGTTATAACTTGTGAATAATTTCCTCGGTTAGACTTATTTGACGTTTACGATCAATACACAGGAAAAGAACTCAGCATTAATACCAAATATTGAAACATCTTCGTCATTTTGTTACAGTTTTGTTATACGTAATTCCCAAAATTGGTGCTCTACCAAAAGCACTCACTCTAGCTATACAATGTTGCAGTGGTTTCAGAGATTTTTCTATTAAAAACAATATGAACTATTGAACAGTAACATTGCTTCAATTTACTGATTTCTGACAACTCCCCCTGGGTGAACATTTGGCAACGAACTATGACTCGGTACCAATCATAGATAAAAAAATCCCTTCTCCTTTCAGTTAAAGGCAAATACAATACCTACTCAGGGTTCGTAAAAGCCTTGAAAGTCCTTGAAGACGCATGAATTTAAAAATAAAAATTCAAGGCCTTGAAAGTACTTAAATTTGCGTACAAGGGCTTGATTTTTGCAATGCTTTTTCTTTAGTAATTTTCAAGTTGAAAATTATAGTACTTTTATGGAAAACTGAGAAATAATATTAAATACCTTTAAAACTGCTTATGCAAACCTTTCCAAAAGTAGTCCTTCAATTTTCTAAAACTTGGCTTTCAAAGTCATTAAAAAGTCCTTGAATTTCAACCTTTGGCATTTTTAGGAACCTGCTCCTATATGGTAATATATTATTTTTAATGTTGTCTAATACCATAACAACATTCATTACACTCCAGTAGACAAAAATAAACACAAGTAGACTTATTCATGACCGGCAATGACGAAATTGCGTGACGACAGTAACAATGGCAATATGGTAGTCCCCTAAAGATAACCCCGGATGTAAGATATTGAAAGCCCGAGTTCACGCAGCTATGCGTCTAATTTAAGTTTAAAAGTGCGCTGCGAATGTTCTGAAATCTTCGTATTGTTTTCTTTCGATTATATATTTTTTAATTTTATCGTACTGCAAATAGTTTATTTTGCGTATCAGCGATACGGCGGAACTTGGACACCTTACACTTTAATTTTCAGGTGTTGACCACATTCTCAATAGTGTTCGTTAAGTGTGTAGCTCCCTTGGTTCATTTTTCAGTTGAAGGTGATAAGATACTGGGGGAAGAAACAACTAGGTCAAGATAAAGGCCGCAGAATTTGCATAGAGGGAAGAAAAAGTAACTTGGCTTTCCTTTGTGGGAAGGATGATCGTATGTTAAATGGTCCTCAGGGGAGACTAAGAAGAATAAGTCAGCTACTGATATTTTCTTTTTTTTACAGATGTTGACGAATGCAGCTCTTCCCCATCACTTTGTACAAGCTATGCCGATTGCGAGAACACCATAGGCTCTTATCGCTGTTCCTGTAGACCTGGATTTCTTGAAAATGCAACAGCCTCTTACCGTAAGAATATTTGGATTTTTAAGACAGACTGACTAACTTGTTATTTTCAACGCTTCAAATTCAATTCACATTTTTTCTGAAAGTTTTCCCCTAAAACTTCACAGATATCATATCCATAGCACAATTGAGGCGTAAATACTTTTTTCTTCTTAAAGGTACCTTAAATCTAAAAACCGATGGGAGAAAGGGACGCTTTGGTACTATACAGACGTTCACTATTCCACGGACCACCTGCTACCTCATCAAAGCCTGGGGAGCTCGCGGAGGAACACATTCATACGATTATGGAGACAATCCAGGAACATATTATGGTGGAAAGGGAGCGTTTAAAGAAGGCAAGTTCACACTGAATAATGGAACAGTGTTAAATATTGTGGTGGGACAAAGGGGAGGAGATTCAGTGGAGGTTCAAGGCGGACAAAGCACTAACAAAACAGCAGCTCAACTAGGAGTGTCCGTGGAAGACAATGCTGGCACTGGAGGAGGGGGAGGAAGTTTTGTTTATACTACAGCTGATGTTCTGTTGCTGGCTGCCGGAGGAGGAGGGGGTGCATCGAGTGGATATAATGGTGTGGATGGTCAGGCGGAATCAAATGGTACCAGTAGTGTAGGGCAGGTTTCGTCACAAGTTCGAAATGGAGGCACAGGTGGGCAGCCAGGTGAATGCAACAGTGAGGGCGCTAGCTATCATGGAGGAGTGGGAGCGGGTTGGTTTGGTCAAGGTTGTACCCGACTAGGCTCCTCCCATGGGGAAAGAGGTGGATCACGTGCTCAAGTCTGGATCGGTGGTCGAGCCGGAGGTATGAATAGCGGTAATAACGGGGGCCCTGCACCAGGAGCAGTTGGTGGGTTTGGTGGTGGGGGAGGTGGATCAGAGGATAATGGTGCATCAGGTGGAGGTGGTGGGTACTCTGGGGGAGGTAGTGGTACCCATGAAAAACAAGCCGGAGGCGGAGGAGGCTCGTACTGTAATGGCCAAGATTGTTCCGGTTTGACTGGTGGGAACTCGAATGATAATGGCCTGGTGCAAATTATAGAACTTTAGGACTGATTTCAAAACATTTCTTGAGTATTACAGTTATTTTTCAAAAGCCGATTTTCCCATTAAGAGGAAAAAGCAGTTGTATTGGTAATTGCAGAAGTTTTATATATATTCAAATCCCCTGTTCCTTTTTCAACATGAGATGATAAGAATGCTCTTCCCCAGGCTAGATATTAGTAATGTCACCGTCTAGGATCATAATATTCAACACGCTTTAGCTTAAAATCCTGACATTTGATAAAACTTTTTTAAGGTTTGCTTGTAAGAATGTGGTCAAAAACCATTATAAAGTTAATAATTCAATCCAGGCTTGAGCATGCGACCCACCTCTTATAAATTATAAAATTCATAATTTAAAGGGAACTGTGCAATGAGTTCCATCTATTAACTATCCTATTATAGAAAGTTTTTTTTAATAGTAAACTCTTTAGAACTGGTCGCGAGTAAAACAAAAAGTACGCTTTACAGTAGGCACAGTCGTCTAGTATTCTGTTGTATAGCATGATAAAGAAATTATAGGAGGCGGTGCAGAAACAAATCGAACATTTTGATAACCTCCTTTAAAGTGCGTAGGAAATGTCTTGCCGGTTTAACGTTATCCTCAGTCGAGCCGTGTTCACCTCTAAAGGTGGTTGTCGATAAACACGAGCGGGAAACATTCCATTATTACCTTCTGATGTCAAAGATTTTGTAATGTTGTTCACTCAGATCAGAAACTTTACACAGGCAACATTTTTATTATTGGATGTCATGTGACCCCAAAGCAACCAATGATAGCGCCTGCTGTTGAAAAAAAATTCCAGTTGTAGAACAATATCAGTTTTCGGTAAATAAGGTAATAAGGTTACCAGTCGTTTGGTACCTTTTTTTTCACACTTTCTCTTGTTGAAAGAAAAAAGTATTCAAAAGGGACAAATAGGTAGAACATTTTGTTAAACGTCACTAATCAGTGTTTTGGAAGTTTATCAAGTTATCTAGGTAGCTCATCTAGAATTTTCATAACTCGTTTTCCTTTCAGCAATCTAATACGTGGTAAAGTGACGTCTGTTTTCGTTATGTTAGGACGTTTGTCATGAGTACAGATTTATTAAATAACTTAGAGAAAAGTTTGGTCATGCAAGTCAGCTATAAGATATGAAGTAGTAAAAAAAATACACAGGGTAAGACATCGCTTATAAGAGGTTTTGTAGTTTATCGATAATGTAAATAGTCCATTTATTGGAGTTTCCATAACTCGTTTGCGAGCATTATAATCATTAAGACTTAAAAAGTGATTTTCGTAGATATTATACCTATATTATTGATATTTAACTCGATAAAGCAATAATAATAAAAAAGGTCTAAGAATATCACTAAATTAGATATTTGGTAGTGTGTTTAAGCCTAATTTTTAGTCAAGTTGTAAATTGTTCAACTCATTTTGAGAATTCCAGTTCATTGTAGTACATGGTATTCAAATTATTTCATAGCCTGGTTCAAACGAGATCATCATTTCTAATTCCGTGTGTAAACTTGCAATCTAACTGGGCGTGAAAATCTTCAAAACTCAGACTGTCCATTTCGTTTTCTCTTTGAGGATTTCCGCCTCTGTTCACGTCATTATAACGTATATTATATTCTGTTGCTATTTGCTAGTTCGCTTGTTCCGAAATTTCACTTTCAATTAGAGAAAAAAAAAGCTAGAGAGAAGTCCGGGAAATGGTCAAACATGGCACGATTTGGCAGGATAATAACATTAGGCTCGTTGCAATTTTCGTCGCCCAATATCAAAAATTTTTATGTCTTAATGCGAAACGATTGACTCTGGGATTTAGTCATTCGAAAAATACGTACGTATCTCTTTCCATAAAAGCAAAACGAAAAAAAAGCGCTTTGTAAACATTGTATTGAATGTGGTTCGAATGGCATTCTGTGATAAATTAAACGAACTCCTTACGTTAATCAAATTATTTTCATTTTCCTCCATCGTTTCAGGGGAGTTCATAATATTACTTACACTACTTTCTTGGAAAATTACTAGTGCGATCTGTTAATTAGAAGTCTAATTAAAAAAAAAAGAGATCGGTCTGCTGCGGAAGGTTTGACATAAATTTTTGATTCGAGATAAGCTCATTAAAGCCATGAAAACTGTGGAAATACATGAAGGAAATGGGAGCTTAGAGTTTAACACCGAGACATTACAAGACTTATCTTTCTGATAAATAATCACAAGTATCTGGGAAAGCTAAAACATTTAGTTGCTATGCCTGACCCAGTGTTTCAAAACTTCCCATTTATTTGTGTCATTATCAATTGAGAAGAGAAAAGGGCGCGCACAGTCTCCTGTTTTGCAAAGGAGAAACATTTGTTAAAGGAGTTGTGCTAATTAGGAGTTTTAGAAAGATTTAAAACGGACAGAAAATGATAGAATAGAGAACAAGTCAAGTATGAAGACGTAGGCATTTACTGTGTTGCGTCGATGCTTCTATGTGCTATTCCTTTTCTTGCGAAAAATAAGGAATGTAAAAATCTTCATAAAATCCTAGGACCATCTTTCTTGTTTTCTTCTCAAACATCTTAGAACTAAGTACTTTCCTCATAATTATTGATCTACTGCACGATATAAAAAATTGAAATTTATCCTTAAATTCTACCATCATTCTGTACATCAAGTATGCAGAGAAGCAGCCCTTATGATTTTTTTCTCATACAACCAAGAGATATTGTCTGAAGAAGACTAAGTCATCGATCTGTTTTGGATCTGCAGGTGAACAAAAAATTTCTCTTAAAATACTTGTTTTTGGTAATACCGGCCTCTGTTTGTGTGCAAAGAACCTTGACACCTGTTCAACCACTTGTTTCTAAACATCAAAGACTCTGGGATTATAATTGTAATCTACTCCAAGGTAATAGCAAACTGGTGAAATGTAATACAAACAATTACTTTCGGGTAGCTTGATTCCCTAAAAAAATTCTAAATTCCCCTAAACAGTTTCCAAGAGGCGTTATCATCTACCTTGGATAGCAATCAAGGTACGTACAAGATATGTAAAGTACCAGGTCAGATATTTTGAAAAGTTAATCTGAATACAGAACAGCTGAAGGTTCGATCGCTACAGTATAAACTATAGCATTTGTTCTTCCTCTGTTTAAGCGTTGAATCCTCTCACCAATATACATTTATCAGGACTATTTTAAAGATTTGCGAGTTTCCCACATTTCTTAAGGGGAGCATTAATAAAACTTGGCAGGTTTTCAATTAAACAAGGCTGAATCTCAAGGTTCATTTTCCATCCTTATGTCTGTCGGTTTTGATGTTTCGTGGATTTTTCCCTCATTCCACAAACAGTTTTTAGCCAAGATCCAAGAAATACCTATATTCTTAGCATTATAGCATAATCTTGGTCTTTAATTTTAATCGTAATTTATCTTACAGGAAAGGACAAGCCGGTGGTCGGGACGATGCGATTCTTTATTTCAGTGACACTTTGTATCGCGTATGAAATTTTCGCTCAAGAATGCAAAAAGGATGAGCATGCCATTTTTGGTATGATGCTTCGAAGACACACCTTCAAAAAGTTGAAATCGTCGATTGCAGTCGAATGTAATCGAGCGTGTAACGATGATTTTCGATGTCACAGCTTCAATTACTTAATTACGGAGAAATTATGTGAACTAAACAACCGGACTAAGGAGGCCAGACCAGAGAACTTTGTACCAAATTCGGAGAGATACTATGTCAGGAGTAATAAGAAAAGAGGTGAGTTTCATCGCCCAAAAGGACTTAACAATGAGTGTAAAATTTAAACTTTCTAAACTATTATGGGTCTTGGTTGGTGAAATTTGAGACACCATGGACAAAAGACATGATATTACTCCAAATTTACACTTTCGAAACCAAATTGTTTTCAACGAAAGCAAGTGGATAGCGTTATCCGTATTTTGAATTTTCGGGCCCCAGCTCCAAATATTTTTCTCTGATCGAGAGGAGTAATGAAATTTATTATCCCACTGCACAAAGTAGGGAACAAACAACGCGCGAATAGAGTGCAAATATCCTGCGATATTGTACAGTTATTTCGACAATTGGTTATTTCCTACCGTAAAAAAACCTGTTTGAGAAGTTGGCAACAGTTGCCTACTCTTGCACCGTATTTAACAACTGTTCCATGGTTGTTACTTAAGAGCCTTCAGCTCCTCAAGTACCGGCAGCGATTAATTCAAAGCGTCGTCGCTTTGTGATTGAGTCGGATGATGAAAATGAAATGTAGTTTTGGAAAGTATTTTCATATGCAAAGGGCACATCCATGTCTTTAAGAGCTTGTCTCCTGGCAGATTCAAAGCTTTGTTACTGGCGATAAATTACAAATCACTTTTCATTGATAAATGTACACTTTCGTACATGCAGCAAATGTATACGATTTGAGAACAACAATAGAAAATAGAATTCAACTTTTAATCGTTTAGATACCTTATGTGATAAGTTGACAGCTTAACTCGTAAAAATACTCAGCGATACTACACACCTAAACTTCTAGTAAGAAAGTTATTAGAGGGTGGAAGTACAGCTAGAAATTATCTTTGATGAAAATATTTCTTGTCCTCAGTTCCTCTTGGTTCCATTCCTGAGTTTCCAGCGGAAACATGTGAAGAGATAAAGGCCAGCGAAGATGGAAAAGCGAAAAGTGGCGAGTACTGGATTTATTCCATTATAACGGGAAAAACTGCTCTGGTTTCTTGCGATATGGAACCAGAAGGTAAAAATATTCAAGTTCTTGTTGTTGCAGCTCATATGAATGTGAAAAAGTTTGTTTAAAAATTTATAGTTCTGGTAATTTAGATATAAAGGTAATGACAATAATATACACTTTTTGTTGCCTTTCAATGAAAACCTTAAAGCAACCATCATAAATAGTAGTAGCCTTACCCTCATCATTTCCCATTTGCACATATTTGTATTTATTGAGTAAAAAAAGTTATGTGTACTCTAGGATTCGGTAGACTTTCAAGAGCCAAATTCTTTTTATCATTACGACTCGACCAAGGAACTTTAGCAAATGATTAATTGCAAAGCATTCAGACCAAACTAGCATATGAATATGCAGCTTTTGCAGGCAAATGTGTGTGTTTGATGATCGTTACCATTTTAACCGACTACCATACATACCAAAAAAAAAAAAAAAAGCATAAAATCGACTCATGTATGTGGCCTGCAACATTTCTAGCGCGGCACTAATTATTCCTGTCCTACATTGTATGTGATATTTGTATCAACCTGCTAATCTATATCAACAGATATTGACGAATGTGCCAGCGGTGTTCACAATTGCCACAGTTCAGCTTCATGTACCAACACTGTAGGATCGTTCAAGTGCTCATGTAACCAGCCCTACATAGGGGATGGAAGATCTTGCATTCCTCTCCCATCAGGTACAAAGTTGAGTCGGGTCTTCCACTGTTGCTGCTTTTGTAACTATGCTTTCACGCAGGCATCCGGCTTTACGTAGATACAAGCAACAGTGGGGTAATAAACTAATTACTCAGATAGTAATCAAGCAACTAGCAACTTACTTTTTTTGCTTCATTTTTGCGCTCAAGGAATTTTGTTGCTTCATATCTTTGGATTTCAAGTGACGTTATGAAAATCGAAAATCCAAAATAATTAACAATAATCCACTTAAGTGGAGGAGAGTAGTCGTGGATATTTATCGAGCCGTCAAGCGCCGAGGTAAATATCCACCACTTTAATCGACAGTGGTAATGAAGAATGTTTGAATGTCAGACAATATAACGAAGATTGGTTGAAAATTAGATTTAACTTAAAAGAACTTGCAAATCACTTCCGAACCAGCCAATCAGCGCACGCGAAAAGCACCATTCACTCAGGTGTTTTATACTAACAAGGGCAGCAACTCCTTGGTGTTCGACGGAAGGGCACCTACTTGGCATCCCCATACTGAGTTCTTAAAATTTAGGTCATAAATCATCAGCGGAAAACCTGCAGATCTGATACTTTAGCAGATTGTTTTATTTATGATTGTTTGTTTATTGATAATGTACAGTAGCTCACTCTCCTGCGGGTGGGGCGTCTAGTATGTAGTTTTGCTTTTAGTTTTCAATTGGATGACAGTGAAAACCATCAACAGTAAAATCCTAGGCAACAACAGGGAGAGGATAGCGGATGACTCAAACAGTAATCATGCAACGAACACTGCCGAAAATTTTTTTTTTATTTTTTTGCGCGGAATGTTTGAGACGGTTCCTTGCGCTGAAGATCTTCCGCCTTAATTCCAGAGGAAATTATATATGCTTGTAACAACAAACGAGGAAAGTCAAAACAAGAAAAACCATGACTACTTGAATTGAATTCATGTTGTGACTCTTTGATGTGATTATGCGGCCGTAAAACTATTTCGTAACTGACTTCATTTGTTTGGTCATGATGGCTAGATATTGGCTGCGTTTTTATCGCGTTTTTTCCTGGAGTCAAAAACGTAAAGATTAATACACTAGGAGATTTTAATCTCTTAACTACACTAATAAGTAGCGCAGAGGTCATATATTCTATATAAATCAAATACCAAGGGTTTTACTTGGTTTGTTTCGATTCTTGGACCTACGTCAATCATTTCTACTCTGTCCATTTTAGAGTGTCAAAACTATCAAAGTCTGACTGGGTCAGACAGAAAGATAACCTATGGCAATCAAAACACGGTTTGTGACAGGGGTATTCATGGTTGGTATCGCTTTGAAGGAGCAGCAGGTACAAGAATGCCTACTTCATGTCCACCAAAACAGCGATGTAACACTCACGCATCCGGTTGGCTAAATGGTGCTCATCCCACAGTGGCTGATGGTCAGGTCACCAGGACAGTTTGCTTCCACTGGGGGTCAAACTGCTGCAACTGGTCAAGATCTGTCAACGTGATAAACTGCGGCGATTACTATGTTTACTACATAACTGGCACACCCGCATGTTCCCTCCGCTACTGCAGCACAGACTAAATCGATGCTGGTTCAGAAAATTATCAATTGCTTGAGTCGTCTTTTGAACAATGTTAACTGTGATTTATATGAATTTTACTTTAGTGATATCAGATAGTGTGTTGTGATTGGTCACAAATAATAATGATAATCATGATAAATCAAAAATTAAAAAATTAAGAAGAAGAAGTAACATTAACTAAGGGACTTGTCGTTATTTATAGCCTGGTTGGTAGAGAATTTTGGAAGATCACAAGGTTTCTCAGTGGGGGACAGAGGGGGATCGGTCTTCCCCGACAGAGAATGACGGCAGAAGACTATAGAGAATTGAATGTCAGTGAACTGGCAATTACAGCGGAAGGGTGGGGATTATAAAAATGTACAGAACTGCACGGAGGGGTTTCAGGTAATCGTGACTCTAGCAAAGTCCTCCACCAGCAAAGCCCTTCACCCCTGCACCCGCCCCTCCCACCGACAGATGATAAATAATGACAAGTCCCTTAAGTGTGGCTGTTTGTAAAAGTTCTCCGGTAATCCTGATGATGAAGCAGGTCAATGTGTAATGGTTCTCCATACATATTTTTTTCGCGTATTTCATGATGAAGCATTTTACCAAGCTGAGGGCTAATGATGATTTTCAAGGGGTGAGTTTCACATGAAATCACAAGAAACTTTCGTCTAAATAATTGCACGAATTGGTACCCTGTGTTTTTGGTGGCAAAGGGTCTTCCAAATCACTTGCACTGTTTACTAATTGAAATAAACAAAAAAAATACTCGCCAAATGCATCCGAGAATATCCACTCTTAAGTTACCTTGACCAAATAAAACTGGGTTAGAATACCCAATTATCTTGATTCAAAGTTATCATTTCGAAAACTCAAAATGTCAAAGGCAGCTTAATTAGAAACCTTTAAACTCAGTGTTTTTTTCAGTCATACTCGTGGTTTTTGTTTTGACTGCTACAAATAGGAGTCTTAAACATGTTTTTTTTTCCTTTTTCATAGATTTAATTTCATTTTTAGGTCAAAAACCTAAAAACAAAAGCAAAAAAACCGCATGGGACATATTGTGTTGAACGAAAACGAAAACTCTATGTAAATTATAGGAGGGCCGAATTCGACGAACCTCCCATTTAAATCAAACTCTTTTAATTTTCTTCCATCGTCCGGACGGGTTTATGACGTTACAGACAGAAAATGATGTGCCACGATTTACCTAAGCAATTTTTCGGCATAAGGTTACTCCGACACCTCCATGGGAAATTACGCACGCCCTGATTAGGAGGTTAATTGCTGCGAAAGATTTGATATAAATTTTTCATTCAAGATGGCTTTATTAAGGCAGGGAAAACTGTAACCTTCACGATTTTTAGGCAGGATTAAATCGAAAATTGAAATTTTATTCTTCTGACAATTGATTGCAAAAAAAAAAGGTTCAGCTGCTTTACCAAACTTCAACGTTTGAAAAATGCCCTTTGAACATTCGTCTGTATTAATTGCAGTAGCTTTAGATGGAATGGGCCGGCACTTGTGGCTGAGTTGCAAAGGAGAAACGCTGATTAAAGGCGTCACGTTAATTGGAAGTTTTCAAAACACTTAAAACTGACAAAAAAAGGAGAATATACTACAAAAAAAAAAAAAACCGTGAAAATGCGGGCATTCAAAGTGGGTTTCATTTACAAAAGCTAAGAGCTTTCTGTAGATATACTTATTTGCTATTTTTCCAGGACGGAGGAAATTTTAAAAACTGCTCAAAATCTCAGGAAAATGCAGTTTATGTTCTAGTCGAGCATTTTACAATAAAGTAATTTCCTAAGTCATTAATTTGCAGGATTATTTGGGTGAACAGTACTCAATTGTAAATTTCATTATGAAAGCCTCTTATTAGATAATAACTAATCTACTGTGTGTTATAAGATACTGAAGTTGATTTGACTTGACCTGAATACCGTAGCTTTTCCTTCAAAGTCAATGGGATTCTGTACATCAATAATATTGGGAACAGGCCCTTACAATTTTATCTTCTCATTTTAATCGATAGAGAACGAAGTTATATCGTCTAAATAATTCTGCCTCAACGATGTGTTTAGGACCTGCTGATTAACACGTCTTCCTTGCAAAATACTCTTAATTTGTTATGCTGAACGTTGTCTGTATGTTAAAATCCTTGACACCTTTAAAACTGTAAAACATAAAGTCTGACAATTCAAACCACTGTTTGTATAACACAAAAGAAGTTAGGATTTACTTAATTTACTCCAAGGTATTAACGAATTGATAAATATAAAACACACAGGTATGTTCCAGTGGATTGATTCCCTGAACGAAGTTATAAACTTGAGCTTTTATCAGAAGGATGATCTAATCTCTGTAAGAAAGGAAAAAATGTATGTATAGGAAATGTAAGGATCAGGTCAGATATTTTGAAAACTTAATGTGCAGATATCACACTTAAGGACTCATGTTACGCTATATTTTCATAGGTGGTAGTACATGGACGATCTTTGTTGGTGGAATGATTAGCCTCGTTAATTCTTTCTCTGTTTAAACGTTAAATTTTCTCAGTTTATGTTTATATTTTCAGGGCCATTTTGATGAATATTTAAACATGTGTAAACAAGCATAAATAGATAAATTTGTAAGATTATACACTTAGCTGGTTGTACAACGCACTAAACTATACATTCAAATCGCAATTTCATGAATCATTTGCTGCCCTGTCTTTTTTTCGTTAATCTCAGGTGCATAATTGACAAAAATCGACAAAAAATTACCGTAATTTCTTACTGAAATTATACCGCTTTCTTCAACCCAAATTAATCACAGTATTTATTTTTTTCAAAATTTCTCTTAGAGGAGAGACGAACCAGTGGTAACGACGATGCGGTTCTGTATTGTAATTGCAGTGTGCTACTTTAATGAAATTTTTACTCAAGAATGCAAAAAGGATGAGCATGCCATTTTGGGCATGATGCTTAGAAGACACACCTTCAAAACTATGAAATCATCGATTGCGGCTGAATGTAATCAGGCGTGTAACGATGATTTCCGATGTCACAGCTTCAACTACGTCATTTCTAAGGAACTATGTGAACTAAATAACCGGACTAAGGAGGCCAGACCAGAGAACTTTGTGCCAAATTCTGCGAGATATTATGTTAAGAGTAATAAGGAAAGAGGTCAGTTTAACCATAGAAAACCCTCATCAATGAAGTGAAACCCATCTGAACAATAGTGGCTAGTCTTACTAGAAAAGTAAGACCATAGGTGAATGACATAAACTGGTCTAAATTTATACTTTGAAGTTACTCCCACATTTAAGTCAGAAGGCAATTTCAAACCCGAAAGCCTTTTTCCATCGAGAACCATAGTAAACAAAAGTGAATATTTTTTTTTCTTTCACTTGCGCACTGTAATAAGACGGAAACCCGCAATGAAGTTCATGACGTCAAAACTTGCCTTCTCTCCAGTACATGTATAGATTTAGTTTTATTTTTAGTGGGCAAATGGAATTAGAATTACTTTCTGAAGAAAATGTTTTTCGACCTCAGTTCGTCTTGGTTCCATTCCGGAATTTCCAGCGGATACATGTGAGGAGATACAACGAAGCGAAGAGGGAGAAGCGACCAGCGGCGAGTACTGGCTTTACTCCATCACAACGGGAAAAACTGTTCTTGTTTCTTGCAATATGGAAAGAAAGGGTGACAAAACTGAAGTTTTTTTTGTTCTTGTAATTGATGTGGATGTGAAAATTTTAATTCTTGTGATTTACAGGTAGAGTAATTGATTTGTTGTGCACTGTTTGTCTCGTTTCGATGAAATCCTTGTCACAACCGTCAAATATAGCGGTAAATGTCATGTTGTTTTCTCATTTGTCCATGTCTGTATTACATCAGTTATAAAATTTGGGAACACCTTAACCAAAGTAAGGATACGGTAGACCTTCGGAGGCCAACTTTCTTTTTTTTTTTTTTTGCACTTATTATTCAGCCCGTCAAGTGTTCATGGCCAACTAGAACCTGTCAACACGAATTAGAGATACTTTTTGCGGCGAAACATCTTATAAACGGCAGCTTTTCAATTTCAGTCGCATAAATATTTCCTGATTTCGATCGCACGTGCAGATCTCTGCAATCGGTTTGGGTGTAAAACTGGACGAAAGTCCAAGAAAGATAGCTTGGCAGAGAAGAAATTCGACACAAAAAGGCGAAAAAAGGCCTCTGAAACAAACAAAGGTTCGTGGTTTGAGGAATTTTGGCTGATGGCACTCGATCGAAAAGTTTTACCGCGGCTGCTCGAGCCGTGTGAGACTTGAAATTGCCCATAAGCAGACTTCAACAAGATCTTTCAGTTGCAACTTGTAGGTGGTGTTCTACGAAACATATTTTTGCAAATGTCTCCTGGGCCTTCGCAGGTTGCCCCTGTACTTCTATTGGGGGTCGGCATTTCTAGTGGTCAGGGTGTTCAAGTTGTTTAGCATATGGTCACCTAAAGAAGTGAAAGGCATTAATTACAAATATTGAAAAAAAAAAAACAGAAAGCAAACAAAGATTCTCCGTTTTTATACAAGTGTGTGCATTTTCAATAAATTTTTCAAGCGTTAAAATGTCACCGATTGCCTTGAAATGTTTTAAACTTCGATTTCTCGGTGATGAGATACGTTGTAGCTGTAAGGATTTTTAGATTTCATATTAGATTTAGATTGCATATTTGTGCCCCTCGCAGACAAACAGGCACAGGCAAAGAAGGACTTATTACCTGACCATCTTGCTGTTTGCAACCAGTTAATGTCAATTTATACTTTTCATGGATGGTATATTTGCTTATATTCGACAGATATTGCATTAATTGCACAATCTAATTCTTTTAACCATATTTTTATACAGAGGTTAATTTTACGGTGAGTGGGAGAAAAGGACGCTTTGGCACTGTACAGACGTTTACAATTCCACGGACCACCCGCTATCTCATCAAAGCCTGGGGCGCTCGGGGAGAGACTGACTGACTGACTTGCCAACTGATAAACTTATTACTTTTTAACATTTTGATGTCAATTTACATTTTTCATTGTTTTTTTTTTGTCATTTATAGTAGACGATCTAGTTTCTTTTTATTTCTGTTGCTAGCTGGATTTGGAGCCGGTGGAAGAAGAGGACGCTTCGGCAGTATACAGACGTTCACTGTTCCGCGGACCACCCGCTATCTCATCAAAGCCTGGGGAGCTCGGGGAGGAACACATTCATACGATTATGGAGACTATCCAGGAACATATTATGGTGGAAAGGGAGCGTTTAAAGAAGGGAAGTTCAGACTGAATAAAGGAACAGTGTTAAATATTGTGGTGGGACAAAGAGGAGGAGATTCAGTGGAGATTAAAGGCGGACAAAGCACTAACAAAACAGCAGCTCAACTAGGAGTGTCCGTGGAAGACAATGCTGGCACTGGAGGAGGGGGAGGAAGTTTTGTTTATACTACAGCTGATGTTCTGTTGCTGGCTGCCGGAGGAGGAGGGGGTGCGTCTGGTGGATATAATGGTGTGGATGGTCAGGCGGAATCAAATGGCACCAGTAGTGTAGGGAAGGTTTCGTCACAAGTTCGAAATGGAGGCATAGGTGGGCAGCCAGGTGAATGCAACAGTGAGGGCGGTTACCACCATGGAGGAGTGGGAGCGGGTTGGTTTGGTCAAGGTTGTACCCGGCTAGGCTCCTCCCATGGGGAAAGAGGTGGATCACGTGCGCAAGCGTGGATCGGAGGTCAAGCCGGAGATATGAATAGCGGTAATAACGGGGGCCCTGCACCAGGAGCAGTTGGTGGGTTTGGAGGTGGGGGAGGTGGAGCAGAGGATAATGGTGCATCAGGTGGAGGTGGTGGCTACTCTGGGGGGGGTAGTGGTACCCGTTGGCAACAAGCCGGAGGTGGAGGAGGCTCGTACTGTAATGGCGAAGATTGTTCCGGTTTGGCTGGTGGGAATTCGAATGATGATGGCCTTGTGCAAATTATGGAATTGTTCGGCTGATTCCAAAACATTTTTTTGAGTTTTACAGTAATTTTTTCAAAATGGATTTCTGTATTATTAGTAGTTGTGGTGGTAATTGCAGAAGTTTTATATACATTTAAATCCCTCTTTCCTTTTTCAACAAGGGGATGATAAGAATCCTTTCCTCTGGCTACGTATTAAAAATGGCACCGTCTAGGATTATAATATTCAACACGCTTAAGCTTAAAATTCTGAGATTTGTTGACATTTTTTGAAATTTAACTTGTAAGAGTGTGGTCAAAAACCATTATAAAGTTAAAAATTTGAAGGGAACTGTCCAATGATTTCCATCTATTAACTATCCTATTATAGAAAGTCTTTTAAATAGTAAACTTTTCAGAACTGGTCCCGAGTAAAACAAAAAGAACGCTTCACAGTAGGCACAGTCGTCTAGTAATTTATTGTGCAGCAAAAGGAATAAATTAGAGGAGGCGATGCAGAAACAAATCGAACATTTTGATGACCTCCTTTAAAGTGTGTAAGAGAGCAAAATATCACAAAACCATAATATCATGCCGGTTTAACGTTACTCTCAGTCAAGCCATGTTCACGTGTAATAGTGGTCGTTCATAAACACGAGCGGGAAACGTTCCATTGCTGCCTACTGATGTCAAAGATTTTGTAATGTTGTCCACTCAGATCAGAAACTTTACACAGACAACAGTTTTATTGTTGGATGTAATGTTACCCCAAAGTAACCAATGATAGTGACCGCTGTTAAGAAAAAATTCCAGTTGTATAACAGGATCAGTTTTTGATACATGAGATTGATTGTAAGGTTACCAGTGGTTTCGTACCTTCGGTCGTTTCGTACCCAGCTAAAACGTTTCGTACCCAAACAGTTGAGTCAACTCGTACCCAAACAATTAAGTCGTTTTGTACCCAGCACGGTGGTTTCGAGATGTGAAACTTTCATCAAGTAACTTGTTTAAGTTCGCCTCTTCCCCTGTTTACACAATTTTAAAAGCTGAGCCTCTGAATGAGTCAATTGATTTCAGCTTCCTTGTGTTTTGCCCCATTTTCTCCATGTTAAAAATTCGTTTCGGGCATAAGAGACTAATGGACATCAATTGATTCATTAATATCTTTCTTTTATTATTATTATTATTATTATTACTATTATTATCATTATTATTATTATCATTGTTATTATTATCTCTTCCATCACAGTCTTTGCTGGTGTTCTTTTTGTGCATCCGCTGGGCGCAAACCATGCACCTAGGGCATCAGTCATGTTGATACGCTAGTCATGTTGATCAGTCTGTTGATACGCTAGGCACCTTTCTGAGGATTTGCATAGATCCCAGAATGCAGATCTTTTGAATCTGTGTCACATTAGCTTCTTCTGATACTTTCGTTATGTTTTCCACCATACACTTTTTTACTGTACCAAGCGCACCAACAACCAGAAGGAGCACTATGGTTTTCATACGACACATGTTCTGTATTTCTAGTTCTAGGTCTTTGAACGATGTTTCTATCAGATGGAACAGTCATATCAATCAGTTTGCAGTTGGAACTCGCCGAATATTTAAGAGAGGTTGTCAGTAATTTTCGAGAATCCGGCGACAGAAGCAAACATTCAAATTTGTTTTTATTTTCTCAAAAAGACCCTTTTGGTGAATCGTTTTCAAAAATAATTTTCAAAAGTTCCAGCGAGCATCGAAATTTCTATTCTATTGGGCTTTTAGTGCATTTTCACAACGCTCGTACAAGACAGCGAAAAATTATCTTGGATTCATTTTTTCATAAGTTGTTTTTCATCCCTCGGAGTAGCTTTGCAACTATATTTCATCTCTAACTGAACTTTCTTTCGTTTGTAGCCACCCACGTAAAGTACACTATATTTTCTATTCAGTTTTTACGCTGAATTTTGCTATATTTCAGACGACCATAACATCGGAGGTATACGAATTTACATAAAATAAATGAGCTCTTTTCAACGAAAAATTCTTCGTGTTTATCATGTAAAAATATTGTTTTTGGCCCGTGAAAAGCGAGCGCGCCAGACCAAAATATATAGCGTGCAGTTTCACGGAGTTAGGCCATTTTCCTTGCTGTACTCCTACTGCAAATCGCACGCTATTGCGACAAAACTCGACGTGTTTGGTCTCTACTTCAGTTTTGATTCATTTAAATATATCGATTTTAACTTAAAAACTAACCTTCCTTTATTGTTAAGTGAAAAAACCACCGTTTTAGGTAAAGTTTTTGAGTTGACTTTTCTCGAGTGCTAAATAAACAAATCGCTGTTTACAAAGATACCAGCTCTGTCGACGTGTTTTTAGCTGAAAAATCGATGGGAAAATCGTAGCGTTTCTTTCTCCTGTCTTTTATTATTTTAAAGATTTGCTAAAATCAGGATATAGGGCACTTGTACAAAACCAAAACATTCATTAGTCTACAATTTGATTGTTTATTATCATTATCGCACAGTTCACAATAAGGAAACTGTAACAGGAGAGGAGATTTTTAAATTCAGATGCCGCGTGCTTGTTGACGTACAAGTTCCCGAGTGTAACAATTTCGGCTTTTCGGGAAACTCTGCTTCTCTTATATGATAGGAAATATCAATAGCCCCATAAAATTCATTAACTGCGCCATGTTTCCTGAAAATAAGACTGGAAAATGGTTTTTCCACTTTCCACCATCAAGAAATTCCACGTAGAAATAGTATTTGTAGCGTGACTGCGTGACCTTTCATGAGAAGTAATAATTGTTTTTCTTTTTTTTAAGAAGACACCTCCAGAAAGTTCTTTATCCTTCTGTCATCTTATTTGCCTGTTTTTTGACTGCAAATATCATCTGCATTTGCCATTATTTTCGCTGATTGTCCTGCGTGCACGTGCGAGCAAGTTCATATATAGCACTCTTTCGAGTTTCTTTGCGTGGTGTCGGGCATAAGTGTGTAGGTCTGGCTCAAAAGATATCTGCGCGCTGCAACACGGGTTTCTATGTTTTCTCCTTTTTCTTTATTTGTATTTTTATTCTCCTCCTTGCATTATCACACATGTATGTTTTTTTTTATTCCCTCGGCGCGTTCCCTCAGATTTGGAAGTAGGCTATGAAAAGTCAATATTGACCAGAACTGAAACCTTTTCTATCACTATTTGTTTCAAAGAACCCCTGTTATTTATAACTTTATTTCTCAAGAGAATATGATTTTATTTGCCATTTACTTCCATTAGTACATGAAACTAGGTCCCGATAAGTTTTTTTGTTTCGTGACTCCCAAAAGCTGTTTGCGACAACATCAGTTGAGAAATCAAAAGCAATTGCACCCGAGAAATTCGCCTGTAGCCTTCTACGCGCAGAAGCCAAATCCAAGTAATGAAGCTTTCTAAGACCTCTGTAAACTAGAGACATTACGTGACGTCGAGGGGTCAAATATTTACACTAAATATGTGACCCTCAAACAGATTACATACTCGTACATGTAACGTCCGAAAAATGTCACGCATGTATAACACCGTGGGCGCACCTTGCGAATTATATCCACTGGCTTCAATAGTAAAGAGACAACTTATTTACTATTTGTATTTGAGCAAGCTTATTTACCCTACTTGTAAAACTCCTTGATGAAGTCCACTATTATCAGACGAAATGCGTGGGAGATAAATACAAGTTTTTACTTTCTCAGTTCGTGCAGTGAGTTCAACAGAAAAATTAAGCTCACCCTGTCATAATCAATGATTTGATACCGTAAGTACCAATTTAGGTACATCATTGGGCTTTGATCACAATAATGAAAAAAATTTGCGTTTCCCCACGCTTGCCACATTTATTCTTTGAAATAATTATTTTACTGGAGGGCGATGTCACTTAGCTTGGTGCGTCTTGACTCTGGCCGACGAAAATTATCGAGGTGAACCCCATGAAATTCTTGTCAAATGTTTTATAAACTTTGTCTACCCTTGATTTGCACGCAATAAAAGGCAAATTTCGAACGATATTTCAAAATATTTTATTCACTGGTCAATTTATGACCTGTTTTATAATATCTCATTTTTCCCAGTAAATTTAAGAGAGGGTCAATTTTTTGACGCAGCCAAAGATAGATATCTCTGAAAAGTCTCTGAAACTCTTAAAGAATTTACACTGCCGGTAATATTTTCATCCTTCTCGCAACAGCGCAACAGACATTGTCAATCCTTTGTAGTGTAGGCGTATGTATGATATGTGATGCCGTATAAGAAATCGAGTGTCTAAAAAGCTCTCAATTCTCGCGCTGGCCAGGGACGGCAACAGTTCACAACTCTAAACTCGTGGGTGTAGAGCATAAAAAAATAAAAAATAAAAACATTTGAGAGACGTCAATGTATCCAAACATGCGTTTCGTCCGAGAAGAAGCTTATTCTAGCGCGTATTGGCTTATTTGGAGATTACGAAGGCCGCGATTTCACGATATGCCTCAAATATCGTGCACAACTTGGTATGAGATTCATGCCAGTATCCTCGTCATAAAAATCGGACACGTAAAGTTGAGAGAGAGGTGAATCTGAAGATGGCAGAAGAAATCAAAGCTGGTGGCGAGTCTTCCTGGTGGCAAGGTGACTGTAAACCTAATAGAACGCGTACTGTAACCGCTATCTTAGAGTCAGCAATGAATAAGGAAGAAGGGCAAAAAGAACGCTTATCTGAACATCAGTTTTCCTAACTAATGATTTGAGACTGAAATGAACTTTATATCATATGATTGCTAGGGATACGCAGGTACTGTAGAGACGCTCACATAAATAGAGGTGGGCGACCCTCTCTCTGACTTTAGAACTGCAACAAGTTTATAGCGCAGACCAACTGGCACAGTTTTGAGCACCTCAGGGTCTCACTAGGCTCATCGCATAAGAAACCTTCAGCAAACTAATCGTAGAAGTGGGTGGTTATCAGCAACGTGCACGGATCCCTGAACGCGGGTCATCGCGAGAACTATATCCAATCCGTCACGGACAGAACAAGAAAGCGAGATGTTCTTGCTAAGA